GAAAAATATATATTAAAAAATTATAATGTAAAACGTGAGCGATATAATTATACATATCCATTATTCATCTTAATGACAGCTGATTTAATGGTTTCCATTGAATTGTAGTGAATGATACATGTAATGGAGAAAATAAAAACCAGAACATGTGATAGGAGCAAATACATTATTAATTTAGTAACGCTATAAGAAAAAAAACACGTAACTTTTCTACAAGCTGCAGATATACATTGTAATTCACAATCGTGCCTACTTACCAGTCGCGTGTCCAGGCACCATTTTTCTTCGAACCGATTTACGCCCATTACGATTTTGATAAAGCACGAAAAAATATCATACTTAATTATGTGAGTACTAAACGGCATAAGGTACTATTCGATAAAACCTCGATGTGTAATGTATAATTTCGTTAATTTAACACTAAATAATAATACATCGAATCTGCTGAAAAATATAATTTAAAATAACAATTCAATACGTAAAGACGAAAGAACTTGTCTTTAGATATTTTAATTAGCAATTAGTTTCGTAATAAAATCTTCCTCTATATAGCTGTGTGTGACAGGTTGAGCTCAGCGCTCTATAGCACTATACCCATTGGACGTGCGAAAATGATTTACTCCAGCCCTTTATTGTACAATTACTGAAATCGCAGAGTTGACTCGCTCAAAGCTATTAACTGAATTAATTTACTTGTGTGCATATTGCATCTAGAAACACGTCGAATGTTAACAATAGTTACCATCGTAACTATTTTACTGTTCTTAGTTCGATTTACATAATTTGCTTAGTTATTATTTTTATAGATTTTACTAATTCTGATTGAGAGTGAACAAAGAAATGTTGAAGTAGATTATCACTAACTAATTTCCATAGATAAAGTATGAACTTGCGATAAAAGCAGCAATGCTCGATAAAAGTACAGTACTTATTGTAAACTTCTCAGAATAAATGTATTTCATACATATATATATATTCTAGTATAAATATTAATACAATTGGCAGAAGTTGTTTAAAGAAAAGGAGTAGCAACAACATTGTTATTCTTATTATATATTATTGTTGTTATTCGAATTTACTAATACCATGAAATATTCATAATAATCATATCTTGTTATTACCTTTATATAATTTTATGTGCATTACTATTTTTTTACTATGTAAATACTTTTGTTCAGTACTGTAAACAAATCTATTTCGCATGAGCCGGTAGTTTAATATTTTTCCTGCAGTTATGTAGTATACATAGACCATGCTCGATTCATACCAAGTTTTTCTTCCATCGTGTTACGCATGTAATTAGATAGAGACGCGAATAACTCAAATGTAACATAACTAAATGCAACGTCACGCTTGAGTGACATTTAACATTAGAGATTTGAGTTTATCCATTCCAGAAAGGTCTCCTCCCTAAGTTTAAATCTGCCCATGCAGCTTTAACCTTTTAGGCACGACGCGCCACTATAGTGGCTTCCGCGGATGTCATCTCTCTGGACGACGCGCCACTATAGTGGCTTGCTCTAGTAGCTCACTCGCTCATCGTTTGAATCAAATAATCGTCTTCATATGCACTGTTTCACACTTCTTTTGTCTTCACATCGATTTACAACAGTCTACAGGGTGTCCCAAAAATGTCTCGCAAACCGGAAATGAGAAGTTTCTGGGATCATTTGAAGTAACTTTTTCCTTAGCGAAAATGCAACCCGTGGCTTTGTTTACGAATTATTAACGAAAAACACTGACCAATGAGAGGCGAGCTCGCCTAGCGCTAGGTGGCCGAACTAATCGGCGGAACTGGGATTCGACCGCTCGACCGCTGGCGCCGTTGGCTCGGCCGCTTCGCACCAGCTGAGCTGGGATTCGACCGCTCGACCGCTGGCGCCGTTGGCTCACGCGAGCTTAGCTGGCGCGAGGCGACCGAGCCAACGAGCAGTCGAAACCCAGTTTCGCTCATTGGCTCAACCGCCTTGCGCCAGCATATCTCACCTCTCATTGGTCACTGTTTGTCGTTAATAACTCGTTAACGGTGCCTCGGAGAAAATTTTTGTAAAGGAAAAAGTTGCTTCTGTCTCTTATACACATCTAGATGTGTATAAGAGACAGATCAGACTCTGCCGTCCAGAGAAATAGCCTCGCGCAGAATTCAGCCGTACCTAAAAGGTTAACGAACGATCTAATAGGCATGTTCGGAATTTCTAAATATCTAACAGAGTCCGATATGAGCAGTAAAAGATATATATCATACGTAACTGTTAAAAATGTGCTGATTATTTTCACCTAAATTAAATAATTTGACTTTATAGTAACAACAAGACAAGACATTTCCCCCAAAGTCCCTTTATTGAAATCATTTCAATTTTTTCGAGTAGTTCAGACGTCACGAGCTAGGAAATTGGAACATCTGTGAGTCAGTCACGATTCCGGGCCACAACAACCATAGTAAACCAAGATACATTTTTGTTTAACGTTTACTTCTTGAATAAGAGATCCCAGATACCAGAAGTAAAGGGATGGGAGCGTTGCTCCACTGTTGCATTGATTGCTCACGTGAGTGTGTAGGAATTCAGGGAAACTTCCATGGTTCCAGAAGAGAAGCAGCTGTATCACAGGGATTCACAGGGCACAAAGGTTCATCGATACATCGTTGTCCCTGCACCAATGAGTATGCCGCAGGGAATTACCTGCAGAGCGTGCGGAAATTTACTTGCGCCGTGAACACCCTCCAGTGTATTGCGTATTACGTTACTTCGGGTGTAACCGTTTCGTGAAGCTGCAGATGAAGAGATAAAATTACCGGCAAGCCCTAGAAATACAGTCCGCGGCAACAGTTCAATTAATCGAACGCGTTCGGTCCTGAAGACCGCTCGTGCTGAACATCAATCGTCGACTGTTCGTGGCAAACCCATCAAAAGCAATAAGCAGTAAGCTGATGTGAGCTTCTATTGCCGTACATCGTGCACACGATGTATTTCGATGCGAGCACAGTACTCCATTAGTATTCGGTCGTTTTTCAACCTCTTAGCTGTGTGGATCATTTTTTAGGACCAAGTTATACACAGTGAGTAACGATGGTATTCATATAAATTGGATCAAATAACTTGAATTTTTTGAAGATGTTAGACTGACTAGTTTACTACAGAATAAGTAAACAATTTTTGCAAAAATTACAATTGGTTGAAATTACAAAAAGTAATAAAAATATGATGTTTCTCAACTTTTTGTAGATTCCGACGACATTTTAGTGATCCTGTTTTAATTTGATCCTTTACAATTTCTGTAAGTTTCTTCCAATATATCTATTAATTATTCTAAAAAATCAATGTCTGCTAGGTACTGCTATTATTCTCTTCAAAGGTTATAACGGGCGTCATTCAACAAATGAAAATCCTAGACAGTATTTTACAACGGTAGATCAAACGATAAAAGGAAATTAAGCAAATGAAAGATGAAACGAAATAAACTCTAACATGAAAGACTCGAAAAGTATAATATTTGAAGCACCTTGATGAAAGTAAAATCTCCTCTTTTACTCGATCTGATTCTACTCGCGCCTATTTTAGATTCGATCTGTGCGCGTATTCCGTCTGGGTACGTATGAAAGCAATCATCTCTCATGTGGACGACAATCGCTATGACTCTTCAAAATAAACAATAATTGACTGAAATCATACTAATAGGATCAGCTTTATTTATAGAAAATACTTATTCGATTCTTTCTCGTGAAAGTGTCTTAATAATGTCGGTCAGTAAGCAAAAGTACAAAGCGTTCTCGACTTTAATCACAGTAAAAACATTACTTCAAGCATTAGACGAATACAGTATACAAGATTACATTAATCTGAACAAAACTAATCACACAACGAACGGGGAAATTTTCGTCCAAGTTTCCTTATCATAGCCCCGCGCATCGTACACTATTTTCAGCTGCAAACGAGTCCCTTCACGTCTATTTGCAACTTTGAAATCATCACCGCGGCTTGCATAACTCTCATATATATCTAGCTCGTGCAACGACACGGTTACAGTTCTTTGCAAACGAACCTTATTCAGCCTCGAAGCCGAGGAGAATATCACAGAAATTAGCCCGACGCTCGTAGAATATTTTTCGGTTCCTTTGCCTTACGTGGAAACTGTGATATCTTTAAATTGCTTATTGTGCGAAATTCCTTGAAAACAACGTGTTCCATTCTCGCACCCTTTCTCTCTACCTTTTGATGTTATTCCGTTTTAGATTACTGCGCCCCGCCTAGAAGGCATTCAAGAAGTATGGAAATGTGGCGCCTGGTAAGGGACGCAATAATCAAGCCAGTATTCAGACTTATGTATATGTATTTCGATGCTGGGGTATTACTTTCGACGGCGTTAACACACTTTCGTTTCAGAACGATCAAAACGTTTTCGATAATGTGCATGCAGATTCGGAAAGTACCTCCGCAAAAATTGCCCGTTTTGGGGTCCACAACTTTCGAGCCAAGTTTTATGCCAAACGAAAAATCATGATGGGACAATAATCACCGAAAAACTTTATATTCAGCATAGGATAGTAGAACCGGTTACTTTGGGGTGAGGATTGCTGTGGTTTTGGTTTGTTTTCGGGCATTTTATAACAGAAGTTTTCTTGTAAATAAATCGATATAAGTCATCCAGACCGCCCGCTCGTAAGATCTGCTCTCGTTTAGAGAATGAATTTTCAAGTTATCTTAAAAAAAATATTCGACGATTGCGTTCCACCGTGGACAGTAATCTTTTCAAATGCCTACGAACGATGCGGGGACGGCGCTTCCGATAGCAAGGGAATAATCGACCGGCTTATCTCTAGTGGTGCCGGACGTCCGCGTCTTTTCGATTGGGCAGACGACTTTCGACCCGACGGAATAATAATTCGGGGCGTGCAGCGGAACGCAGGCGTGGACGACGCTGCCAGAAGAACGGATTTGCACTTGGCAGGAGACCGAGAGACAACTTCCTGAGAAAGTTTCTCGAGTGGCCGGCCACCCATCTATCTCATCCCCATTCGGCTCTCCTTCTCGCCTTTCTTATCTTTGTCTCTTTCCATTCGGTCTTATCGCCTTTGCTTCTTCGTTCGGAAGCTCAAAGAACCGAAGGTACGAACGTGTCTGGAAAAATTCCCTGGGAGCCAGCACCGACCGAGAAACTCCTCACTTGGCCCGGACTTCCGAAAATGGACATTGCGAAGGTAATGCCTCCCTTAGTCCGAGTTCTCTTGCTCCGATGAACTTCCACCTGATTACGTCTTCGTTACGTCTCGCTCAATGAACAGACGAAAGCTATCATTAATTAATATATAGGCTGCTCCTACGATCTTGGTCGCAGATACAGTGGCTTTAAATTGTTATATCGCCCCCACCAAGTACTGTTTATTCCTTTACTACTTGAATTAACATCTTTTCTTTTAGTTTGTGTACAACTATGTTTACAATCAATTAAAAGAATTTTTAGTGATTACAGTATGTTCTGACATGAAGAATAATGATTTAATTAGTATAATTTACAAAAATGATCAAATCCCTTTTTACGTGTGATAATTTAGATAATTAATAATAATATAAAATAAAAATTAATAATTAATAATGATAAAAATTAATTTAGATTTTTTTTGCGCACATTTTCTGTTTCCACGTCTATGCTAACACAAGCTAAGTTATTAAAATGATATGCACAAACGTTAATAAACACTTTTAAAGTCTTTGGTCTCTTACAAATGCAAATGCATATTGCCATTCCTCAGTGGTACTTAGAATCGACAGAGAGATATTTTACCTAGATACATTACGGAGTTCATTTCGTTAATTAAAGGTAGAAATAACTTAATATTCACATTTAATTAGCCGTCGCTCTACTAAATTACTAACCTGCACTTGCATCAGCCTTCACAGCCCTCATGTACAATATATCGGAAAGTATTTCCAGTTAAAGACATAGCACGTTAACATAGCATATATTATTAACAATTTTTTAAAGATCAAAATTTTAGTGATCAAATATTCTTCAAAGCTACTGTATGTGCTGCGTATAAATTCATATCTTCTAGAATTGGATACAAATCACGAGATATCTCGTCACCCATCCATAATGCATCAAGAAACCACTGCCTTCAAACTTCCCGTCAATAAAAGTAATCTGCATACTCGCGTATAATGCAGATATAGTAAATCACAGCTGTAGCCCACCTGCATTCATGAGAGCCTTATCGTAGTTTCAGACACCTGTCGCCAATACGCTTTTACCTGCCATCAATGACTAAAACAGTAAATAACTTCGTTTTATTACTTTGCAATTCCATCACTTTACATTGACTATTGTTTCTCTACTTTTAAAAAGGAGTAGAAACAATTTTTCGTTTGGATAACATAAAGCTCAGAAGGAATGCATATGTTTATGAAATTTTACTATACAAGATTTTACTATATGACAGCAATTCCTTTCACAGGAAAATTTTTGTTTAACCCGGGATAAAAATATTAGAAGATTTGGAATGTTCAATGCATGAAATTAAATACATATAATTCGACTATGTACACATAGTAGTGCATAGTATAATTTGTTTTATGTAGTATTGGTTAATTAGTTTGTTTTACGTATTACTAGGTAGGTTCGAATGCAAAGTACCATTTTCTTTCACAGAATACAGCCTTTTAAAACAGAATAAAAATAACAAAAGATTTGAAATATTCACTGTTCAAAATTAAATATCGATCTACAACATAATAATTCTTGATACATAGTAAATTACTTTTGAAAAATGTAGATCGATAATTTCAGAAATTTTACGATATTCGTGGCAAACTTAATCGTAAAAGTATATATTTTCGATTTTCCATAAAGATTTGCCCCACAAAAATTGACGATTGCTGTGTCGATATGAAAACCTCATTCGTTTTACGACCAATCGTTTTCTGTGCCAATCCGATAAAGATATTATTGCAAAGCATTTTCACGAGAAATCCCCACGCTGCGCTGGTTGGACTCCTTGTCCATACGTTAAATCTAAAATTAAATTAGCCTAGTTTGTAGCGATTCTGCTTTCATATCATTTGTTTCTCGATCATAAAATTTTTGTTGAAATTGTATCGTAAAATGGGTTTAACGGGGAATGAAAATCTTATTCAGGTGTCTGGTTTCGCGGATAATAATAAAATGTGCTTCTGCCAATTCGATATTGATGAGTTTGAATAATCTTTAATCAGCCGTGATCAAGAAAATTTGCTAGCAGTTTCTGCATGCTGCTGGTTTCACTATTTTTACTATCAGTTGACAATACTATGTTTAGTACTATCACAAAATTTGCATTATTTTTATTTTCTAATGGATTGCACGAAATAATTCTAATGTTTTACATGAAAAGGTAAATTCTCATTGCATAATCTAGTGCAAATAATTTTGAGTTCATAACTAGAATTATGTCGAAAACTGTGTTGAAGTTTCTAAAAAAAAACCGATATTGTGTAAATACCTTTTTCTTTCATTGTATATCCAAGTAATGATTGTCTCTCTGAAACGTATGTTATTAGTGCGCAGGTTTCACAAACTGTAAGGGAACAATTTTGAAAATGATCTTACCATGATTGTTTACTTGCCTTCTCTGTCTAGTTTTGTGGAATGTGCTAAGAGCGGTCAATGTCCATTTACGTCGAGAAAGATCAGTAAGCTTTTAGCTGTTCAGAAATAGGATTTGCAGAACTGGCAATGTCAATTGATTTCACGACTAAAAATACATTATGCTCACGAGATTGACACTACGCTGATCGAATATTGTAAATATCTCCAAAATAACCAAGCAGTGGACATTTCCACGCGTAGCTTAGTCTTTTGGGAATCTAAATTTTCCACTCCTGAATTGCACAGTTCGATATTGAAGCGTCTATATTAATCGGCGAGCATCAGCCTTAAGAATTATGCATGCAGTGTGTTTTGTTTCAAAAATTGTTTGGTTTTGAATGGTCGATACCATGATTCATGTTTTTCCATTCAAACACATCTTTTTCGATTTTTCAAGCTCATGTACAAATTCACAACAAAATATGAACATATTTTTATCATCATTCTACTTTAGTTGGTATGAAATGACTTTTAAAGATGTATTTCTTTTTGTTATTTTACAATTTGTTATATGTATACATATACATTTAATATTGTCAATAATATATTTATATTTAAATTTACCAGTGAATTTTAAAACGTACGAATCTTCATAGTGCATCAATTAGACTTGAATATATCTTCTCTGTTATTCTAAATCTTCTTTAGTAATTTGGAATAAAAAAAAGTTTTTATAAGAAATTTTGAGGAACACTACACATATGAAGAACCATAACAATTTGCCCCAGAATTGCCTTCATGATAACCATTTTAACATTGAAATCTGATGCACAATACTAATAAAATGCCTAAACAAATTTTCATTTGTCGTTGCACTGACAACGAGTAAAAATATCAGTAAAGGAATATTGGCAGTTTTTGCGACAGTCCAATAAAGAGAGTGTAAAGGAATGGCAAAGGGGGCCATGATAGTACGCGACGCTTCTGTCGCTCGGATAAATTTCATTTACGACCCCCTTCCATTAATAAGCGGAAATTAACGAAATTGTCTATGCCGCGTATTAAAACAATGACAGTAATAATTCGTTTTTCTGTCGAGAGTCACTAACATTATAATTGCGGTTGAACGCGGTCGCAATTCAAATAAAAGCGTTCGCAGGCCGGACAGATAACGAAGAGGAAGCAAGAGTGGAGAAATAAAAGAGTGATTTTTTTCAGTTTGTTAACTACGACACGAAGTGCACACGTGTATATACGTATAGTGCCTATGAAACCGAAAATTTGAGAAAAAGACAATTAATCCATAAACAAAAAATGTATTTTCTTGCAGAAAAAAATGGGATAACGTTATTCAAATGTAAGAAGGAAGTGAAAAAATCATTTAGACGTAACATTTGTCTAATTTACAATTCTATTATACATTACATATGCGCAGCCTCCATATTACAATTTGAGGAAATAATGGACATCCAATTAAATTGGATCCTCACACCTTGATAAAAATGAAAGTAAATAACGACATATTTTCATGTGACCTACATAATAGCGTGCAGCCATTGACCGAAAAATTGTTTCATTCATCCGCGCTTCATTCTGCATATTTATTATCTGAGCTTTCAATCCATTACACCAATTAATTTCGTAATTACCGATAGCTATGAAAACGCGATGGTCTATGTACTTTGTAAGAAATATGCGATACGAATAAATCAGGGGGAAATTCGTAATTGCCTATCAACCCCCCTCAATTTATGGCGTTTTCGAAAGATAGTAGTCGCATAGCATTTTCAATTCATGGCATTCTAAATTGTACGCAATTATCGTCACGAATGCACGTACGGCATCACGGAATCTCCTGCGGTACCTTTTTCGCGCACAACCAACGCGAACGGATCGATAGATAATAAGCTCGATTAAGAGCAATTGGTAACAGTACGGTAGAGGCGTTCGCCGTTTCGTAATCCCATTTCTCCATTTTTTTCGTTTTTTTTCGTCCCCTGCAATTTCGTACGGGAATACGACAAAGCCATTAATTCCCGCACGACTGAAGCTCGCAGTTGTTTCCCAAACAGCCAAAAGCCAATTTTACTTCCGATACATAATTGACCGTAGCGTCGAATTGCGCCGTTTTAAATGTCACTACGGCACGTTGCAGAAAAGATGTAGGTTATTAAGAAAATTGCTTCCGATCAGCGATCAATAGTATCAACGACGATTCATTCAGTTAATTCAATATGTATACAGAAACTTCCAATAAGATTTAGAAGCTCTTTATTTCTAATGGCTACAGTCAAATTAGATAAAACAAAATCAATTTATTTAGTAATAGAAAATCTAACTTACGTTAGGATTATATTATATTAATTATACTTTTTGTCATATTTCTGCTCTACGAACTACATTTTTTATACCTTTGACTAATCGTATATATTAACCCTAGAAAGATAACCATATGACAACGTACGTAAAAGATAACAATACGCTTCAGAGGCGCATGCTTTTCTAAGGCGTCAATTTTATACTAACAATGGATATTTATTTAAGTTAATCTAGTCATTTTAAAGGTTTGTCATTATTGTAAAAATAAAATGCATTTATATTATATTTTTTTATATTTTAAGTAATTTTAAACTTAAATTACTAGACCTCTATGAAAAATTAACAAAAATCAACAGTCTTCGCAGGCGCCTCTGCGACGTAGGTTATCTTTCTCGGGTTAATGAACATGCTTCAGATACAAGAAATTTTTGGAAACACGTGTTCTTTAAAATATTTCTTTTGTATTTGCCATCTTATAACCCTAGTATGGCACTGTATGAGCACATGGATAAATTCGCTTGATACCCGCTTTCATATGATATAGAAAGTTAGAAACCGTTCAATTTGAGATATTAAAGGTTAGTTCATTTCTCGAAAAATATTTTAAATATAAAAAATATACACACAAGTATGTTAGTTAGAAAAAGCAGTAATGACCTTGGTATACTCTTGCTGGTAATTATGGAGAAATATTAGAAGAGAAACTGTGGTGTCATCGTAAATTGTAAAGATATATAGCAGAGATTATTAACATCAGCTGAGACACTCTATATAATAAAGTTTGTTTGTAAAACCAGCGTTGAACTGGGTGCAAATGAAGGTAAGATCCGATTGCGATTAAAACATAGACTGTAATCCACATGCTTGGCTGATTACACAGTTCCGATGACAGGCAGAGCGCGAGCCAATAAAGTAAATCTGTAACTTAGCGGAAACAACAAGCACAGAGTCGCAAATGAAGTTCTAATTGAAGGAAGATCGGCAGTTGTAATTCCGCGTGTTCTCCGACGTTCGTTCGCCCTCGGGGAAGAGGCAGCAATAGCAAACTGTCCAATTTATAATTTCCTTTGGGGCTTGGAGAAGCAAACGACAAGGTGAAGCGTCTGTGGCGGTTGACCAACTATTTCTAGCGACAGTTAAATCTTCCATCGGGATTACCGTCTTCCCCTTTTCATCCAATTTCAAAACTTTATCGACACGGCCACGCGTTGCCTCGCTGCGACACGTTGTTTTTCAACAATGAAAAACACAACTCTCGAGTGGCTACCCAATTTGTGACTATATTTTTTTTCCGTCACTGAAATAACATTGCAGTAACGAAGACTCGTTATCAAGATATATATATATCCTCAACAGTATGTTTTTATCAAAATTGGTTACATTTAATTATTATTCATATTTTATTAAAATTGGTTGTATAATACATATCAAAGTAAAACATCTCTTACTGTAATACATATATTCTATAAACAATTTCAGATCATTGGAAAACTGTTCAACGTTATTATTGTCTTTTCTTTCCTAAGTCATGATTTGGACTGTTTGTATCGAGAGTTTTGCAAATCCACCTTCCAAAAAAGTTAATAATCTATTAGTTCACACAAATGATTATTTTTATACATGTAAATCGTGTGTCATCTTTCAGGACAGCGAGAATTCGATGATCTTAAACATACCAAGCAATTCCTCTTGTATGAAAAGTTTTTTAAGTTTACTTTTAATTTTCTTCTGTTGCAGATGTCGCTTGAATTTACAATATACTAATGTTTAAAGAAAAGTAGGCCGTTCTACAAAAAAAAGGTCAACGAGAGATAAATCCAGAATTAGCTGTAGAGAAATGGGCCAAGAAATCAATCAGCAAATTATAATACATTGTTCAAAATCAAATTGATCATCGAGAAAGAAGACCTTTTTTGTGGTTGGTGTTACTGAGAAGGGAGCCTAAATTATGCAACCTAATTTAGAAAGGCAAACGTTTCTGCCCAACGGTTATTCTAGAAGAACAGATTACAGGATCTCATACTCGAGTCAAAGGGCAGAGTTGTTTAACGTCCACGTATTCCCCGTAGTACATCTGCAGTTTTCACCGTGGATAATAGCGTACGTGGTCATTTCTTTCAGTAATGAAACGTCAGGGAAAATATATTGGGAGTGAAAATAAATTATTTCTGATTAAGATGTAAAATTAATAATATCGTAGGAAGTAATTACAAGAACTTGATCATCGAAATAGTCCAGCATAGATTCGTGTATATGTATATACATATAGTATAAAGAGCGTAATTTACAGAGCATATGTAGCAGGCAACAACGATTATTAATAGAAGATAACATTGATGACAAAGAAAACACACAGTTTTCCCTGAAAATGTGTAACCCACTGTTACATTTATTATTGCAGAAAAACATAAAAATCTATTGTACCGTATAACAAAAGCTTTCTCGAGAATGTTGTTTAAGCCATTATCTGATTCAATTAATTATAAATGAACTTTGCGAATGCTCATCTTGCGTCATAAAGTCAAAACTTTAACTACGGCATATAAGAAAATGTAAAAACAGTTTCCATATTCTATTGATCTTTGGCCAACGAAGATGATGTTCGTACAATTTATCATAGCGGAAAATTGCGTAGCAGGTCCGATTTCATCGTTATGTATACCTTATACATACATACATATATACAAACGCTAGAACGATGAAAGGCCCTTGCAATAGATGTTATATCTCTCTAATGTTTACTCGATCATCATCGAGAAAAAGTCGACTGGAAATTCCTTTCAATTCAGACATTAATACGCACATATATTTATATAGACTTATAATTTTAGCTGACCATATTCGAAGGTAACTGTAATTGACAGCTACAAATTTTGTGAGCACAAAACCAGCTTTTATTGCAGATACTTTCAATATAATACAACATTAAGTAAATTGTCCTTTATAATAATTCTAAATACACTTTTGATTGATCTAATTGATGCAACTTTAAATGATTGTTGTGAATGTGTTTAAAATAAAAATGTCAATCATCAATTGATCTTGTATTTTTCTTTCTTAAAAAAAGTAAGCTACATTCGACATACATTTAGCATCAATCGTCGATCACAAGTTTGATAGTAAAATGATTGATAAGTGATATAGCCAATACGTTGAAAATTATAACCACAGTACATTGTGTAATGAAGTATATACATGTATGTGGAATAAAGAGGAAGTAAATCGATCCCCCCTTAAGGTTTACCATTGATAATTAGTTTCGTGACGTTTCACGAATACGGTTTCCAGGTACAATAGAAAAAGGCAAACATCGATACGTGTACAGTGTGCTCCGAATGCACTCCATATATTTAAACAGTTCGTTACCCAATTATCATTTACCACAACCGACATGTTTAGTCAGTATTAACCTATGTATTAATGTTATTAAGACTGCATAATTAAGATTAATTTATCAAAATTCAATACGGTCTAACATATATATATATATAAAATTCAATACGGTCTAACATATTCTCTAATTATACATGTATAATTATATATATATATATATATAAAATTCAATACGGTCTAACATATTCTCTAATTATACATGTATAATTATATATATATATATATATAAAATTCAATACGGTCTAACATATTCTCTAATTATACATGTATAATTATATATATATATATATATAAAATTCAATACGGTCTAACATATTCTCTAATTATACATGTATAATTATATATATATATATATATAAAATTCAATACGGTCTAACATATTCNATTCAAGTTTAGACACTTTGTATCGTTCATGCAAATATTTGTATCATTTGGACCTGGACTTCTCGTGTCATTAGCTACTAAAGGCAATATAGTCTGGGTGATTGCCTTATATAGGTACTGACCCCTAATGGGATGGATCCATGAAACATTTGGCAACCTGGGAGCATTAATCCTTGGGCGCTGGTCTTGAAGGTGTGATAAACAATTTTTAAAAGTTTGAGAGTCACGCTAGCGGAGCTGTTCAACAGGCCACACAGCGAAAAAGGGCAAAGCTATGGGGCAATGGTACGAGGCAAAGCTGCGGGCTAAGGGTAAAGCTACGGACAAGCGTCTTAGTGGAGTGGAGATGTGAGAAAAGAAAGAGCGAAGTGTTTACGTTTTCATGCCATCTTTCCTCTCTCACTCGCATACATAGCCATTATATGCCGATCGTGCGATGTTCATTCTATCCGCACTTAATCTTGACATAGTCCACAGTCAATCTCTGTCCATCTTTAGCCAAATAATGTGTCGTTACTGATGGGGTATCCCACGACGAGCTAAGGAAGTGGCACCATTACCCTCGGGAGTGGGGCCTAGAGACCGCCGATCGGTGTTTGCTCGGGACTGAAAATCACTGCCCGTACGGACAAGCTGTTGAACAATAATGCTAGGATATAGCCTGAGCTTTGAGGTCGAGCTGACAGTCAGCCCGTGCGCAAGGATCTTATCTGATAATTCGGATGACAATCCTCAGACAGCTCCAGCGACAGAAATGCGTTAAGCGTCATAGTTGTCTCGATGAGACGAAAGTGAGAGAAACACAAGTATGTGTTGTGCCGAAAATAAATATGCGTCTCGCCCACAATTTTTCACTGCGTAACAGATAAAATGCTGTCCTAATTCTATCCCTTCGGAACCCAGTTATACATATACTTTGGTTGCTAATCTAACCGTGTTGATTAAACAAATCACGACGGATACAAACGTATTCGGGACACGAACTTACGGAACGACCTAATAAATGTATTATTTCGCCAGCATTACAAGTTTCTTAGCGCCATATAAATCGGCCCGGTGCTAATAAGATACAACCCGACCAAGTATTTCGATCAAAAGTTTTCTGTTACTTCGCATACCATACACTCCACTCCCGAAACTCTATAAAGTCTAATAAACATAAAGTTCCGGGAGACACGGGGACATATACGGAGAAAATAGTTTTCCCAAAATGGCAACGACAATACTAATACTGCCCTCAAGATGGTCACACGCCATGAATTCGTACCACTATACTACGTTCCCATCGGTCCTCTACCCTTTTTTATGACTTTCCTGTGAAACACAGATTCGCTTTGTTCTGCTAAAGGAATTCGCAACCGGGGCGAAAGTTACAACTCGTCACTGGCTTATTTGTAAGTGTACGTGGCCAATAAAAGCTTCCAGACTTTCCGCTTGCGATCCACCAGTGCAATTGGCAAGATTCCTGAAGTTCTACCGGCAGCCTAGGCCGCGGGTTGCAACCCTTTTAGAGCTTTTACGCTATCTACATAGATCCACGGGACGGGTTTCCGTTCCCTTCTTGTCTCGTCCCCTTATCGTCGTTCTTTCGTGTATTTCCGAGCCGCGAAACACGATCGTGAACGCATTTCGCCTGCCGAATAGCGTGTCGTAAAGAGGGCTTACCGAACTATACGCCTGCGTTCCTCTTACCACCACACAGTTTTGTCGGAACGACTTCCAAGTACGTTATTAGTTGCAACAACGGATGCGTATCGAAGTGAACGGTTTGCCGCAATGAGCAGGCGGATCCAGATTTTACAGAGTTTCGTGTTCGAGGTCTTTCGAACACTACAAGACTGGTCATTATTAATATTTTAACACGAAATAGCTTCTATTACTAGATGCTTTTTTAGATAGCTTTATATTCACACAATAAACAGCAGATTTTATGTCATAAATGCATAAAACCCACAGTCTAATTATTAGTAATAAAATCAAATAGTATTTCTTGAGATTGTTATGTAAAGGAATGTTTCAAAGATTCTATTTATTTTGACATAGCACTTTAGTAGCTTATGTATAGCTGCAATACGTTCCTATTGTAAGAATGAAATCATAATGATTAGACGTGAAATATCTTCGTAAACAATCAGTGTTTACGAAAATGGCAAATTATGTGTCGGCTTATTCTTGTCCTAGATTAATCAGGATCTGAAATTACCTGAAATCAGAATCTAAGAAATCACGCAATAAAAAGAAAATCAATAACATCTCGAATAAAGAATTATTCCAAATAAAGAAGTATTCGTCCTCCATACGTAACAAGGTATGCAACGTTTATACGCTAAAGAAAAAATTACGTTAGAGGAGATGCAAGAACAAGAATCGCGGTATTGCACCGAACTTTACATGGATCTCGAAACGCGCAGACTGCCGAACATTGGGAATGAGCATGGAAGTGAATTTTCGCTCTATTCAGCGGGAGTTCTTTGAATTATTATGTCACTATAAATTATTATGCCGTGTTTCGACGGGCTGTGTGATTCTATGGGACCTGTTCAGCCCTCCATCGGAACAGTCCTTCCCACCTGACTTGTTTCTCTTGCTAGATAAGACGTTTTCCTCCCTCCTTTTTCGCTTCATCCGTGCGAACGTTCGAAGGGTGTGAGCTGCACGATAACTCCCGGTCTCGATTTATGCAGAGGCCGCACGTTAAAATCATCCGCGCGTGTAACGTATGTTACCGTGGCATCTATGCTAAGAAGAGACGCGGTAGGATCGATGGATCCGATTTCAAGTTCGCTGCGATAACATCACGACGCGTGTAATCGTTTGCAATCGAAATATGGCGGTTGCGATAATTCTAGTTTTCAGTTGAGCCTTTTTGCTTCGTAACGCACTTGGTCCATTGTTGGACCTTCATCCACACGGCAGTTTATAAATTGCTTTATTGATAAGGCTTAATTGTTTACATGAATGGAATCCTACTAGTGAACGGAAAAGTTTCGGAGAACTTACTGTACGTCATCACATTTTAATAAAACCACAATCTCCTTAAAATACTAAAAAGTCTGATATTGAGAAAAATATCTCTGAAAGAGAATTTAAAAAATTATACGTTTATTTCCAACCTTCCTAATTGCATTATAAATTTGGATATATAGAAGAATATATTTATCATAGAAGTCCAAAAATAATTTATTGAGTGACTCTACAAAATTAGCGAACATAGATAATGTTTGTATTCTTTCTTATGTTTTGTATTAACTTCTTCATGTTATATTTAGTCATGTATAAAATGGAGGAAATTGTACAGAATGTCTCATTTTAATTACTCCGCCCAGTTAACTATTAATTATTAGCTATTCAAAAAACATGTGGCAAATAAAAGTTGTTCTGTTTTAGATGGAGAAAGATTATTTCATGGTAGACACAAAATTTATCTTTCATTTATCACTCATCTAGACAAATTTTGTATCCATCATAAGGCATTCAAAAATGAAACAAATTGCATTTGAGACATCTGTCATATCAACGAATAGTTTGAAGTATCAGAGCTAGAGAAAAAATATTTTGCAAGCCAACAAATA